GACACAGGGCTACAGCCTGGCTGGACCTGCATGAGGCCACCTCTGCAGCCTGGCAGGTAGGACCCAGTGCGAGAGGGCATAGTGAGATGTTGAGACTCATTGCACCTGCTGCCACCAGGATCTTCATGCCAGCTGTACCACCAGCAGTGTCAGGAGCAGCAGATTGGGAAGGGGGACCACAATGCCCTCACCTCCTCCAGCCACTTGCATGCCAGGACACAGATCTAACCAGGAGGGAAGGTGGGGTGGGGGACAATGAGGACACCCTGAGGGGAATGGTGGCAGTGGTTGGGCCGTGGCAACAAAATAGAGCTATGGTTGGGCACCCCTCCTGCCCCATACAGAACTTCCTCGCCCCACATCCCTCCCCCACCCCCACACTGGGAAGTTGGGACCTGGGGGTGGGGGGCAGTGGGTCAGGAGTGTGGGGCACCAGCAGGGCAGGGAAAGGTGGGGGGCAGCAGGTTGGGAGCGACGGGCACTGACAGAGCTGTGGGGCTGTGGCTTGGGAGTAAGAGGCACCAGCATATCAAGGAAGCTCAGCACCACAAAGCAGCGGTGAGGGGTGGGCAACTGCAGCTGGACCCGCATCCTGGTTAGCAAAGGGGGCAGGGGGAGCTCTGATTTTCTATGATTAAACTCAAATCAAACACCCAATTATATAGATATTTGGAATGTATTTTATTATAATGATTGAGGCACTGTTAGGCTTTCAAATTGCTTTAAAGTTGTAAATATATCAGTACATTGTGTTCAACTGATACCTATATGTATAATGGTGTTTCATTTTAATCATGGAAAAACACAGATTTTGGAGTTTTTAATCACAGAATTTTGGATTTTTAAACAGAGAAAAACCAGGTTCCCTCCTCCTCATTTGGACTAAGGCACTGTCTTCTTCAGTTTCCTCTGTTGACTCCTCCATTTTTAGCTATTCAGAATCACAGTCCTAAGACTATTAAAGTGTCCACAGTTTAGTTTTGTCCCATCATTCCTTTTATTTTACAGTTGACATCTGCTTTACTTTGCCAGTTAATTGTCTGAATCTCTTTTGTACGCTCATGCTTTACCTGGCACATAAGAACAGCTTGAACTCAAATCCACAGAAATATCCAAATCTTTATTCTCCAAGCTCCTCCTCAAAACTCAGGTCTTCTGTAATGCATATGGCAAACTGTTGCCTGACCCCGTGAAGGCAGATTATGTACTGAGTAACTAAGTTTTGTGTATGCTGTAATTTTTTTTAATACCTTCTTTCTCCCATTATCAGCAAGTACCTCCTTGTTTGGTATGGTTCCTCTCCTCTGTTTGAGACCTGCAAGATCTTTAAGGAATGGGTTACAAATTTTCTAGATTTGTCCAATCCTTCCTAGTCCTGACTGAAGCCCATAGGTGCTGTCACAATAGACATGTTACAAGCCAAACTTATTGTGTAAGACATTCCCGTAGCAACAGAAGCTGTTGTTGCAAGTGGAAGTGTAGGTGGTCTTTGCAGCCTTCTGTTAAAGTGTAGTCCATGCTGCTTTTTTATTTTAAAAAGAGAGATTCCTGTATTAAAATCTATGTCCCTTTTCAGACGATCACACTTCTAGAGCAGGGGTTGTCAACTGGGGTTGTGTGTACCCCTGAGGGTACTTGGGATGGCCCCAGGAGGTATGCATGGCGGCACAGGGAAGCAGTGCACAGTGCCATGCACCACGTGCGAGCTCCCAGCGCCCCACCACTGCCATTCACCACTCTGTGCCACTGCTGCATATCACTTCCCTGCGCTGCCACACACTGCTGGCTTCGCAGACCCCCCGCCCTCCCCGTCTAGAAGGGGGTATATTCCAGAAGGGGTATCAACCAGAAAGGGTACACTCCTTAAAAAAGGTTGAAAACACCTGTTCTAGAGCATTAATTGTACTGTATTTCTCATTTGTTTTATGTATTTATCCAACTGTCCAGTGCTCAAGATGCACATTTGCCAATGACTTTTAAAAGAAAAAATATAGAATGGTAAATGAACTCTCTCATGGAACAGGAAAACTAGTTTCATCTCAATTTATCACACATTCTGTTTTACTTCTGATGTTCTTTTCTTTTAGTACTAACAAATAAGTGCTTATAATTCCCAGTAATTAAACATTCCAAGGAGTACTCAGGACTCATCTCAGCAATAGAAAGTCAATCCATAAATGGTTTGGGTTGTTTTTCCTTACCATGCACAGGAAAACCACCTTTTTAGCAGTAGGAGATCAAGGAATTTGCTATGATTGTGATTCTTAACATAGTTAGCTCATGGCTTCCTGAGTCATCTTATGGCTTCAGTGTATTTCTGAACTTTAACTACATGAGAAGATAATCATATGTGTGTGTGCTGGGTGTGTAAAGTAGCTTTGTTAAAGCTATTCAATATTTAAGGATGAAAAGCATTTTATAAGAGCTAGGTAGGATGAATTTTTGGTCATAATTTATGGGATGTACTTTTTTGTTGGAGAAAATTGGGACTTCAAGCTCACACTTCACCATTTCTGTTTTAAGCATGATAGATAAACCTTAAATTGGGAAGTCACATACTAAACTCAGTGAAGTGGGGAGGGAAAACTTGGATTAAAACTAAATTACTTAGAGCAAAACGTTCCTGTAAAAAGAAAGCTTAAAATCACCCTCATTTGACCATGATAATTGCGCATATATATATTTATTTATTAAAATATGGCTCTTTTTATTTTTGACAGAGTACCAGAGAAGCAGAAATCAAATTAAAAAGTGAAAGCAGAGTTAAACTTTTTGGCTTGGATCCAGACGCCCAGGTTTGATGTTCTAACAGAAACCCATCCTTTTATGTTACTTGTCATAAAACAGGAAATATTTTAATTTTAGTTTTCTTTTAAAGAAACTTGACTTTTCGGGCATTGAACCAGAAGTCAAGCCATTTGAAGAGAAGTTTGGGAAAAAGATTCTAGTGAAGTGTAATGATTTATCTTTCAATCTGCAAAGCTGTGTTGCTGAAAATGAAGAGGGACCAACAACAAATGTAAGTTCTTTATGTGAATACTGTGTCTTTATGTAACAATCGTATATAGTAGTTAATGCCTTACTATCAAGCATTACTTGGCAGTAGATCAAGACATCTCAGCTAACTATCAGGTTAAACATAGTAACTGAGATTCTGGTGTTCGTTAATCCATAAGTTTAAAAAACAAGAAAACAAAAAGCTTACAGCCTTTTCATCTGACCTCATTGGCATGTTTATGAAAGCAGTTTGTTTTTTCATTGTATGTTACAACCTGTACATAGTACAGGAATTTTGGAAATTCTTTGTAATGATAACTGTATGTCTGTAAAAATTTGCAAATAAATTTGTTGGGAGTGTTCAGTGATAACACTTGCACTTTCTAATGTCTAGGTAGAACCTTTCTTTGTCACATTGTCACTGTTTGATATAAAAAACAATCAGAAGATTTCAGCAGACTTTCACGTTGATTTGAATCACATCTCAGTGAGGCACATGATATCAAATATGCCAGAGCAACTGATGAATGGCAGTGACGATTGTTTACACAGGGTTCAAGACATTATTCATGAGACCATGTTGCAGTATCCAAAGCAGGTAAGAAAAAACAGTGTAAAATTCTTATTTAGGATGAAGATAGAGGTTGTTTTACATGCTTTCAAATAGTTTTTTTTTTTCCTGGGTGTACAGCAAAAAAGTCTTCATATTTTGTGTACTGTATGTAATTGCTTTCTTCTTTTAGGGAATATTCTCAATCACGTGTCCACATCCCGAGATATTTCTTGTGGCTAGAATAGAAAAAGTATTGCAGGGAAGTATTACCCATTGTGCTGAGCCATACATGAAAAGTACAGATTCTTCTAAGGTACTGTATTGGTTTTAATATGTATTGGTAACGTTCTTGGGGGAAAAGTGGATACTTTGGATATATGATACTTCATTATGAAGTCTCATAATAAAATCTTCTTAAATGTTGAGACTAGCTTATCTACAGTGCTTTCATAGACTAATTGCTGTTCCTTAATGGGACTTTACAACTTGCATACCATTTCAATGCTAAAACGTCAGAGAGAGAGAGAGAGAGTGTGTGTGTGTGTGTGTGTGTGTGTGTGTGTGTGTAAATTCTGACCAAGATCAGATATTTAGAATTATCTGCATCATTTCAGGTTTCCATTTTTAATTTATTTGTTAAAAAAAAAAAAAAAATTCTAAAATTTTCTACTTTGCATTAGAAACATAGTTGTACAGTTAAATTCTGTAAAATCAGTTATTGGAAGAAATAAAGTAATGTTTGTAGGTAATAGCCACATAGAAGATTATATTTACATGCATCCACATTTTGTTTACTTTCTAAAATGTACCCTTTAGGGGAGAAATGTATGGTATTCAGGCATGAGGACTATAGGTGGTAAAGCATCAGCATATCTGATACAGTTCCTGATAGCTACTCTTGATATATTTTTCCAATTTTCTATTGCGCGAAATGTAATGGGGAAGAGAGAGTTTCAAATGTATAGTATTATTTAAACAAATGGTGGTATTTGCTATCATTGAATATGAATGTTAATGCATCCTTCTTAAATCATCAAGAAGCAGTTTTTAAAGCATACTCTAACAGTCAGTGAAAGACTTCGGGAAACAAAACAAAAAAAAAAAATCACTGAATAATTTTTGGTGTCCCTATATCCATGCCAGAGAAGATTGATTTCAGCCTGCAGTATTCTTTCTTTGAAGTTAGTACCCCTCTCTAGAACTAGAATCGGGCTGCGTCCAGATGAGCATGGCAGTGTGGTATGTGGCACCGCAGACACGTCTATGGCACCACATACCACGTGTTCAGGTGTTCTCTGTGCTGCAAGAGAGCATCACATGGGATATCCAGGGGTCAGAATAAAACAACAAAAAAGTGGAGTGGCACACATGGAGGTGGCATATGCTACTCAAAACCAAAGCCAGGCCAGTGAGAGCCATGCTCTGGCCACTGGCCAGGCTCCAAACAACAAGATTGTCACTGCTGCAGCCCTGGGAGCCCCCCAGAACCCCAGATAAGGCTGCTGGGGCCAGCCCAGTGCTGGCCCCAGTCTCCCCTACACAACCTGGGCTAACGTACCGCATGCCAGAGGGTGCATGGCACAGGCATTTCCTGGGGAAAACTAGTGGCAGCACATAGTGGGCCACTGCTGGTAGTCCCCAGGGAACCAAACATCCACGCTCATGTGGATTCAGCCAGGTTGTATTTTATTATAGATGTAGTTCGCAACACCCACAAAGCCAGGTGTTTATGATGTTGTATTTAACATGTCTATTCTTAAAGTTATTGGTAACTTGGGTTTGTTTGTTTTTTCAATTCTTACTCTGCTTCAGGTCAAAATCATTTGTTTGAAAGTTTAAGGAAAATAAAATGAGCAGTGCTGCCAGGTCCTGTAGACTACCTGCATTTCACATGCCGTACTAGCTAGTGGTCACAAAAGAAAAAGGAAAACAGACCCTTTTGGCTGGAGGCAGATTACTATTTCTTCTTTTAGCTTTGTTTCCCCGAGTAGTGCAAATTGGTACTTTGAACAAAGAATTACAGATCAGGCTCTATATGTGTTTATCTCTGAAGCTACAAGTATATTTCCCCCCATTTTATAAATGGAGTAGCTGAGAATTGTTTCACGGGCAGGCTGGCAGTGCTGTTTCTATACCAGATTTAAGGCACACTGACTAGGAATGGATGTGCCAGATCTGTTGGTTGTTAACCCACACTTCTTTTTATAGCTGGAGATAGAACTCAGGCTGTCTGATTCTCCACATATGTTTATTAAGTCAGTGGTTTTCAAGCTGTTTAGATTCAAAGCAGCCCTCCTTAACTTTTCCGAATTTAGTGGTACCCCATTTAAAATCTAATTTCTCTTGTTTTTTGACTATGCAATAATAATAGAGAAATTCTTCTGTTGCAGAGAACCGAGAAAAACTGCAACAGGTCAGATTGTTTCTGACACTATGGATTTCTGTTTGAAATCTCTGGATTTCTCTTGTGAATCATGCAGAGTTTGTATACCTAACAATGTTAATATTGTGCATCACCCTTAAAAGGCTCTTGCATAGGGTTTAGTGTTTGACTAGTCAAAAAATGCTTAGTCAAATGATTTGTCAACTTTTCAAATAATGGCCAAAATTTTATGGCAGGGTAGATAGAGATGAATCTTGCACACTAACTCAGATGTGCTCAACTTCCGGCCCATGGACCAAATGCGGCCCATGGAGCCATAGCTATCTGGCCTAAAGGGCTCCTTATAGATTGGGAAATTTGGTGGCAAGACAGCAATGGTTATTAATATGGCCCCCCTTCCCCACTGCCAAATTCCCAAACCCCAATCTACATGCAGCAAATTGGGGCCAAGTCATGCCCCCTCCTTCCCCCTGCCCCACACATGGGTGAGGCTGGGCCACACCCCTTCCCCTGGTCTGGATTGGAACTGGGCCACGTCCATTCCCCTCTATGGGTCATGCTCCCTCCCTCCCCTCTACAGGCCAAATTGGAACTAGGATGCCCCCTACCCCACACCATGCAGCCAGATGGGGCACTACCACAACCACCCCATGCCAGATTAGGACCATCAGCCAGATCCAGGTTGTGGACAGCCTTGACTCCGCCAATCCAGTCTGCTGGCCAGAAAGATTGAGCACCACTGCACTAACTACATCAGTGGTGCATAAGCTTTTGTGTAGTTAAGTTCATTTCACCAGAAGCCATGAAAAGGCATACACAGAGCAAGCTATCAAATAGATTGATTTGAATAAAAAAGGCAAAGGAGGAAGAGGGGTCAGTTCTGGGAGAGGCAACAAGTGATAAACACATGGGGACAGAGGGGTCATAAAAGCTAATCCATGTGATGGGATAAGAATCTGTAGTCTCTGGTTAGACCATGTATAAAACAATCTAGTCTCTCAATGATTTCTTATTCAGCAATTTTGTGGTCAAGTTTGTTTTTAAAGTCTTGTATCTAAGAGCAAGTACTCTTGATGGCAGTGATGAAATGTCCAGGGAGGCTAAAGTGTTCTGCCACAGGTTTATGTGTCTTTTTGGAACTGACAGATCAGCGTTCATGCATACTTACATGTACAAGTCACCCTTGACTGTCGGCTGTAGACAACAGAGGGGCACTTTAAAGCAAGTGGTGATGTACATAATATTGGTGGAAATGGATAAACCTCAGATCTTACAATCAGTGTTATTTGACCCAGTGATGGTGTTGTCTGTATTGATGAGAGGTCATGGCTTGCATCTGGATCTGTTGCAAGGCCTGGTGTCTTGATGAGAATAGGAATTAAGTAGCCTATTGACTGAGAGATGCTGTTTGGGGTTGGGAGGGTGTCTGTAAGCCAGAACAGGTTTGTCCCCCATGGCTACCTTGAAGACCGCCTCTTTTACCAGGGGGATCTGGAGGTCATTAATGATGCATCTAAGATGTCCAAGCTGGAGGTAACAGCTAGAGGGATTTTGTTATTCTTACCTCAGAGTTGGAATTGTAATAGATCAGAGCTTGATTTGAGTCTGGTTTGGTTGATTTGAGTGGCTACAGTTTTGGGATTGTATTATAATTATAGGAATCTCTACACCACGTGCTTAAGTTGTTGGGATCAGAGCAGATGCAGGTGTAACGTAGAGCTTAGCTGCATGGATAAATGGATCTAGTGTTGTGCTTAGGATGGAAAATGGTGAAGGTAGCAGTAGCAGTTGGGTGGGTTTCTAATAAAATGTAGCAGTGATGTGGCTATTGCAAACCTTCACTGTGGTGTCCAAGAAATTAAATTGCTGGGTGGAGTATTCCAGAGTGGGCGGAGGGGTGGAAATTGTCAAAATCTTGGTGAAATTTCTCTAGAAGTTCTACCATTGTGAGTAGACAATGAAGATGTCATTGTTGTAGCTTAGGTGCATCAGAGGGATGAAAAGACAGCTGTAGAGAAAATGGACTTCAACATCCATCATACTGGGAGTGGGCGGGGGGCCTGGTTGTGCCCATGGCATCACCATTCAATTGTAAATATAGGGAGACACCAAATGCAAAGAATCTATGTGCGAAGACAAAGCAGGGTAGTACAATGGAAACGAAGTAGTGTCCTCATTGGTGATAATGTTCTTTCTGGCTTGTAATCCACCCTCACAGGGCAAGTTGATGTAGAGATGGAACATGGATGGGACTTAATATGGTGTTTGCTGGAAGCTTGTCAATGGAGTATAGTTCTTGGAAGAAATCTGCTGCATCTTTCAAACAGTTGGCAGTTTCAGTGGCACATGGGACTAGGATAAGGTCAATATAGCTCAAAACTCCCTGTGATGGTGCCAGTGCCAGAGAAAATGGGATGTCTTGGGTTGCCAGGTTTGTGGAACTTAGGCGATAAGTAAAAGTTGCCTAGCCTTGGGTCCTGGGACGTGGAAGCAGTTTCTCCTCTTTACAGAGGTAGTGTTGTTAAGTGGTCATTTTATTCCTCTCGGTATTGTTGTGGAGTTATCTATCTCTAAAACTCTGTCTTGGCTTCCTGTGTATATGCTGTTTTGTCCATGAAAATAGTAGCACCCACCTTATCAGCTTGTTGTATGATAAAATTAGGGTTGTTTTTAAGGATGAATATGGCTCTGTTCTGCAGGGCTAAAGTTGTAATGCATGTGGTGGTGGTGTCTAGGACTCTTGGATTGGGCATGGAGGTGGAAACAATTTATAAGCAGGTCCAGAGTAGGGCTTCGGCACTCGAATGAAATCCTGGAACTGTCTTTTTGTTGTCTATTGGTCCAGCCTGTGGTGGATTGATCATTGCATTGCTCCTTGTCATTGAAATAATCCCTCCAGTTTTAGGCATTAAGCATTTTTTAAATATTTTACACAATAAAATAATTACTTATTTTAAGCAATAATTTATTAGAACAGTGAACAGAGACTTCAATCTTCAAGAGATCACATGTTAATTAACAAAAACAAACCAAATTATTGTTGTGAAACAACAAAATTGCGTTTAAAAAAACTAACATTTTTAGAACGATCAATTTTAGGTAAGTGTAAATGTGAATGATATTCAAGAAGAACAGTTCTTTTCTTTGGCTTCTGTTCTGAAACCTCAGTCAGCCTGAAGTTACTAAACAAACAAACAAACTGCACAAAGCAACTATAAAAGACAAAAGTCAGTTTTTAAAATGCAATTATGCTAAGCAGGCAGCTGGCCAACTCTTCAAGCATTTTGCTGTTTGCATTTGGGGATGCCAGCAGTCATAGCAGATGGCTAGTAGAGAAGCTTTTTTTATGCTACTGGTTTTGGTACTCTTCCCTCAACACAGAATAGCTTTTGCAGCCTCGTGTGGCTTAATGGGTGGAAGAAAAAGTTGGCTAAAAGAGCTCAAAAGAGAGGAGCAGTACAGAGGATACCTGTGCTTAAATGGAGTGTTTGTGTATATCCTGACTCCTGTAGGACTGAAAAGCAAGGTGTGCAGTCCTGCTGCCCTTAATGGGACACTATAATGCACCAGTATGGGTATGCCACCTCCTACACAAAATCATTTTAGCTTCATGGAATATTTGACAGGGGATTTTTTACTATAGTCAAATAACAAGCAGCCAGTTGCCCAATTATTTGATGTTGACTGGTTGATCTCAGGGTACCTCAGGTGCCATGGCACCTTGGTTGAGAAACACTGTACTACATCCTTCTTAGATACATGCATAGAGTTTACATATGATGCTAGGCGAGGCTTTTTATGAGGAGACCATATTAAAGTTGCATTTCCAATGTTAATTCTTTCTTCCAAATTTGAAATGCTGTTTTGTGAACTTAACGTTCTGTTAGCTTAGGGTTCCTATATGTAATGCCATATACTTTCTGAAACCTGGAGCTCTAGTACATACCTTTCTGATCCAAGTGATGCAATTTCTTACAGTCAAATCCCTGTAGAGTTTAGTGGGATCTTAAAGCACATTACCTCAGCATTGCATCTTATTACATTCTACCTCATTTGTTAATTTCATGCAGTTTGATAATCGTTAGAAATGTTTGTACAATTGCAAATGAACGTGTAACAAAACATTTCTTCCTTCTTGTGGGAGATGTTGTAAATAATGTTAACAGAATAGCTGTGGAAGGCACCTGAATTGCAAAAATAAGTTCCCTTCCTGCAGAATCAATATAATGCCAGAGAGAGGTGATGCAATTAATTCAGGGAAAGAGAGAGATAACAAGTGAACCTGCATTGGTAGTCTTTCCTTTCAGAGTGAAATGGTGGCCTAACAGAGGGGAGTACAAGTGTATGAGGTTTGTTTCTTCTCTATGGCTTGTGCATATAACAGCAGGCCCTACTTAATCCATAAACAAATAACTGATGTTGTTGATTTTTTTACTATAGTTTTCACATGTTTACTAATGTTGATGGAACTTCATTGTTTAAGAATGGATTTACTCTTAGCATAGACTTTTTGGATAGTGATGAAAAGCGATAGACACCTCATTTTATGGAATACATTGTATTTTAACAACTCATCTTCTTAATCACTTGCAGGTTGCACAGAAAGTATTGAAGAATGCCAAGCAAGCATGTCAAAGACTAGGTCAATATAGAATGCCATTTGCCTGGGCAGCTAGGTAAGGAACACCATTCTTATCACCAGATATGTTATCTAGAGGATTACTTAACTGTTTACTATGGAAGAACAATAGAAGTCTCATTTACCAAAATTGAGCTTGCTGCATTTGGTTTTTTTCTTGCTCACATTTCCGAGTAGCCCTTTCTAAATTCATTGTCATTTTAGCTCAGCCACAGATTTCAGACAAATGAGGAATACATATCTTTCCCATGGTGGGACAGGTATTTGAGATGAAGTTCATTTAAGTTAGGTGGCTCTTTCCCCCTCCACTGCTGTGCTATTTTTGACTTGGCTAGAAATTAAATTGTTCATATTCTGTTTATTAAAATATTAGCTATGAACAAAGTGAAGCTTACCTGCATACTGGTAGACAAATATTTAAATGTAGCTTTTACCTTAACTTATTGTTACAAAATTTTTAAAGACAACTTTTTGACTTTCAGGACATTGTTTAAAGATGCATCAGGAACCCTGGACAAAAGTGCAAGGTTTTCTGCTCTCTACAGACAAGACAGTAATAAACTCTCAAATGAAGACATGCTTAAGCTGCTAGCAGATTTCAGAAAGTGAGTGTAACTCTTCGGTTTTTTGGAGGGGAGGGGAGGTTTATGTATACATCTTTTAGGATGAACAGAAATTAAAACATCTGGTCAGTTCTTGTATGTCTGTTTCTGTTCTTATAACTAGTAATGTGAACATTACTACAAATATATGAGGCAGGGCAAGGTGGAGCCTGTCCTGCTTTGTACCTGACTTCAGACTAACATGGCTAACTAACTTTCTCTACAAACATGTAGTTAGGAGTTTCGTTTAAATAAAAATGCAATTCTCCTCCCCCTACTTTACACTAGTTGGAAATTCCATGAGTGTACAATGAATAAAATAGATTTATTAAATAATACTTTTAAGAACAGCCACATTTTAATCCCAAACTGCAAATCAGTTGGGTTTCAAAATGAGTTTTCATGTACTGCAGCTCTACAAGAGGCCCCATGCCTCTCTTTTTTTATGGCTTTCAAATTTTTGAACTCCGCATTGATTTGGTGAAGGCAGTTGTTCTTTGGAGCATGAGTGAATATACCTAACACAAAATGCAACAGGTAAATAAACTGAAATAATACTTTTCTTCTTTCACAATCTTAGATGATACATGCCACAATAATAAGTTAAAAACAGACACGTATAAGTTCATTTTCTGATTGTTGGTGATTACGTTTCAGGGTTGGGAAATTTACTTCCTTATTCTGTCAACATATAAATCATTTTTTATCAACTGTTTGTCATAGACAATGGTAACTTGATGCTTCTAGTTATACTCCACTTCTGGCTTACGTGGGTTGGAATCAAAACAATGAACAAGAATAAATATTTGCTGAGCCATGCCAGACCATCTCAGTGATATTACTCTAACATCTCTAAAGCTCATTTCTCTTCAATGAAATCATGCTTTTAAACTAAGTACAGCTAAGTACAGAGTTAGGAACTTCCCCACAGACTTTAGCAAGGTTTTTGATATGGTCTCCCACAATATTCTTGCAAGCAAGCTAAAGAAGTACAGGTTGGATGAACAAACTGTAAGGTGGATAGAAAACTGGCTGGATCATCAAACTCAAAGAGTAGGAATCAATGACTCAATGTCTAGTTGGCAGTCGGTATCAAGTGGAGTGCCCCAGGGGTTGGTCCTGGGACCTGTCCTGCTCAATATTTTCATCAGTGACCTGAAAGATGGGATAGAATGCACTTTTAGCAAGTTTGCAGATGACACCAAGCTAGGGGGAACAGTAGATATGTTGGAGGGTGCAGCTAAGTTTGAGACACCTTGACAAATTGGAGAATTGGACCAAAGAAATCTCATGAAATGCAGTAAGGAGAAGTGCAAAGTCCTGCACTTGGGATGGAACAGTCCTATGCACTGGTATAGGCTGGGGACCGACTGGCTAAGCAGCAGCTCTGCAGAAAAGGACCTGGGGGTTACTGTGGACAATAAGCTGAATATGAGCCAACAATGTGCCCTGGTTATCAAGAAGGCTAACAGCATACTGGGCTGCGTTGGTAGGAGTGTTGCCAGTAGACTGAGGGAAGTGATTCTTCCCCTCTTCAGCACTGGTGAGGCCACAGGCAGTGTACTGTGTTCAGTTTTGGGTTGTAGACCAATGTTAAAGAGGATGTAGACAAATTGGAGAGGGTCAAGTGGACGGCAACACAAAATGGATAGAGGGCTAGGGCCCATGACTGAAGAGAGGCTGAGGGAATTTTACTTATTTAGTCTGCAGAAAAGAAGACTGAGAGAGGATTTAATAACAGCCTTCAACTACCAGAAAGGTGGTTACAGAAAGCATGGAGCTAGACTGTTTTCAGTGGTGACAGATGACAGAACAAGGAGCAATGGTCTCAAGTTTCTGCAAGGGAAGTTTTGGTTACATATTAAGAAAATTTTCTCATCAGAAGGGTGGTAAACCACTGGAACAGGTTACCAGAGAGGTTGTGGAATCTCCACCCTTGCAGGTTTTTAAGACCTGACTAGACAAAGCCTTGGCTGGGATGATCTAGTTAGAGATGATGGTCCTGCTTAGAGCAGGGAGTTGGACTAAATGACCTCCTGAGGTCCCTTCCAATCTTAACTTTCCAGGATTCTGTGATAAGCAACTATGACCTTATTCTTACAGCTTTTGCAGGAAACGGTACACTTTAAACTGCAAGTGCAGTTTTCCTTTTTTGGGCTTGGAAAATAAACACAGAATTACCATCATTCGTATTATCTAGCTCAGCTTCCTCAAACAAGAGACAATCAACAGCCTAAACCAGTTCCCTCTAAAATATCAGCTCTGGCTGTCTACCAGATCACTCCAGAACCACCTAAAGCACCTATTTATACAGCGGTTGGAGTAAACTCTTGGGCACCCATTTACATGAAGCAATCTGCATTGATATCCAAAGAATCCCCCCGTCTATTCAATGCAGTACAGATTTGTTTTCCTTAATATGTAGATTCAAATTCCAGTGATGTTGCACATCTTCCAGAGATTTCTTTCAATACCAGTATCTATTGTAGTTGTGGCTGTAGCCTTTACATCTTCCAGCCTACCACAGCCAAAAATATTAGAGGTGGGACAGCTGCAAGCTTCATTCCTTCTTATTGCTTGTGGTGGGGAAACAAAATACTTAGATGCATACTTAGACTCCACCCATGACTGGGCCACACGTATAGATGGCTATACCCTGTACAGGAGAGATCAAGTGGACAAAAGGGGTGGGGGTGTAGCTCTCTATGTCAAGGAAAGCTACGCGTCCCTGCAAGCTGACATTGGTGCCCAGGGTGGATGATTGGAGACCCTGTGGGCTAAAATCCGTGGGGAACACAGCACAGAGGACACAATGGTGGGAGTCTATTACAGACCTTCTACCCAGGATCAAGAGCTTGACCAGGAGTTTGCTAGGGAATTGACTGAAGCAGCACGCTCCCGGTACATGGTTGTCATGGGAGACTTCAACTACCCTGACATCTCATGGGAAGAGTGCTCGGCCAAATCAGAGCAGTTGCAAAGCTTTCTCTCGTGCGTGGATGAGCTCTTCCTGATGCAAGAAGTCGATGGGCCGACGAGAGGTAAAGTGCTGCTTGATCTGGTACTGTCTATGGGGACGACCTAATTGGTGACCTAACAATCAAAGGGAAGCTGAGTGACAGTGACCACGAGCTGATCACTTTCGCCATCTGCCATAAAGCTGGCAAGTCAGTCAGCAATACAGAAGTCCTCAACTTCAGATAAGCTGGCTTTGACAAGCTCAGGAGGCTTGTAGGCGAGGTCCTAAGGGACCCCACGACCCAAAGGGGAGGGGAGTTCAGGATGAGTGGTTGCTCCTCAACGGAGCGATCCTGGATTTTCAAGCTAAGTCTATCCCATCTCAGAGGAAAGGCAGCAAAAAGGCACAGAAGCCCCCTTGGCTCTCCAGGGAACTAGTGGACCTCTTGCATCTAAAAAGAAAGACCTAGAAAGGATGGAGGACTGGATCCACCTCCAGGGAGGAATATTCTGCACTGGTCCGGACCTGCAGGGAGCAAACCAGGAAAGCCAAGGCTGCGACTGAACTCCAACTAGCTACAAGCATCAAGGACAGTAAAAAATACTTTTTTAGATACGTGGGGAGCTGGAAGAAAAGCAAGGGCAACATCGGACCCCTGCAAAACCAGATGGGATAACTGACAACCGACACCCAGGAAAAAGCCAACTTGCTAAATGGGTACTTTGTGTCAGTCTTTCACCAGTCCCATGGGACGCCCCTGCCCATTACAGGACAGGGAGGCCTGGGTGAGGGAGATTCCTTGCCCTCCATCAATGCTGACCTCGTGAAGGAACACCTTGAGAAGCTGGACACCTTCAAGTCAGCTGGCTCTGACAATTTACACCCCAGAGTACTCAAGGAGCTGGCCTGCATCAAAGCTCAGCCCCTGGCATGGATCTTTGAGAGCTTCTGGCACTCTGGTGAAGTGCTCATAGTTTCATAGTAGCTAGGGTCAGGAG